GTGTGTGTGTGTGTGTGTGTGTGTGTCACCTCATGATAAATCAGCTGGCAGTGTGCCCACATGCATCGGAGTGTGCGTCACTCTTGGTGGATCTATCTTTTTTCCTTTTTGTTTTGGGTTTTATTCATTTTCACTCTCATGCATGTGCGACTGGACAAATTGGTATTGCCGACTTTTTTCCACCTGTGAAGGACTGCTGAATGAAGGAGACTCATTCACCCCTTTGCCCAGACTCCATCCCTTCCCTCGCCACGGCACTGAACTGGCGTCACGTCCGACCATCTCCGTAGCTGCTGGCGTCATTTATATATAAATGAAGCCTGTTAATGTTTAATAGACGTGCAGCGTGTTGGCGTTTAGACCCACTAATTCATTTTTCCCCCTCCTTTTCTTTCGACTGTGCCGTTGCTCACAGTTCAATGCAACATGAAGATTGTAATTTACATGGAGCTGTGCTCTCTTTTTTTCTCTTGTCTGTCTTTTGTGGCGAAATTTAGAGCTCACTGTTGCGTAGATTCCTAACGGAGATAAAAAAAAAAGTCACATGTTGCTTTATGTAGAGATCATGTATGATACATAGAATGACAGTCAGCCACCTTTCTTATTCTCTCATGCTTGTAGGAGTGGAAGAAGACTCTAATTCCCATGATTTAGATACCAGATGGTACAGCTGGAGGCCGGGCCTCAGTGTGTGTGAGTGAGGAAGACAACCCTTTAAACAGTAAAACTAAACAGGACTTACTGTGAACACTACGGCCTGAAGAGAGTGCTGTTTGGTTTTTCCTGCTACACCGTTAGCCGTCTCTTCCCACTGTCTCTGCGTCAGCTCTTTATTGATATTACCGTAAACATGATGGCAAGCGTGACCTAATATTTCCCTTGTCTGTCTCTCTCCCATCCATCCGTAGCTACAGCCTAGTAGAGAAATGGACAATTTTTGAGTTTAGCACATTGACCTCGCCCACGCCGACGCACCTTGATGGCAGCGGTGATGCCGAGGTATGAAGACCGACAGGAGCCGGAGCGCCGCTGCAGTTGGAGTGGTGCTTTTAAATGAGTGTCTGCTTCAGAGCCCCGATTGATTTCCGCTGAAGGCAAGCAGGAACATAAGGGAAGGAAATTGGGCGAGCTTTGATCACCGCTGGCTGCTTCTGGGAAAATGTCAGGTGGCTTTCAAAATGGCTAAAGACGGATATTATTTGCTCTACCTGCTGCACACGCTTCTTGAGTTCCAACCTTTTAAAACAAAAGGACTTAATATGAACTGTGCAGCTGCAGCGGTGCATCAGTCATAACCGTCCGCTCAGTCCGCTTTTTGTTTTGCTATCTGCCAGTGAAATGTCAGAGGGGGAAAGCTGCTAATTGGGCTGACATTTTAGGTCGAGCGTCATCGGGAAAGAGCAAGCAGAGCGGGAGGACGGAGGATGTCAGAGCCTCCCGCTCGACATTTCCCTCCTCACCCGCCCAGTTTCGTGAGGAGGGAGGGAGCAGGTTGTTTGAGCCGACAACGCCATGTTTTAGTCAGATTTAGTCAGATCTTGCATTGCATTCGTGGCCGATAGCAAAAGCCTCTTTGTGCTCGTGTGAGCAAATATGTCACTCCCATCATTAATAATAAAAAACAGACAAAAATAGCAACACACCATCTGGTATTTGATCATGTATGAAAGCGTGTTAGTGCTCTTTGAATTTGGCTAGTCATTCCAGGGTTGAGCGTACAGTGATCTCTTGGCTTGTCAACAGAGAAAACTGTCAACCAAACTATAATTATTACAAAAATATCTCAAAAAACTTGAGTGTTTGCTGGTTTCAACAGAATAATTTTGTGATAGAGTTTAGTCTGATAGTTTGCAGAAACTAACTGGGTGAACTGATTATTTGTATTATAGCTGCATGTGATATGTGATTGGTAGCTAGCTACTGTATACCTTTTTTTCCCAAGAAAAGCAAGAAAAAAATAACAAAGTGAAAACAAAAATGCAAATGCTTCTCTTTTTCTTGTTTTTGTTTTTCTTTACTTTGAATTCTGTACTGTACGGTTTTTCCTTTTCTTTCTAAATGTCCTGGAAAATGTCACATTGTGTTCTTTGAATGTTTGTGTTTTAATTTATTTGTGGTTTGCCAAAATGATGATTTGAAGCATGTTGCAGGTATTGTTACGAGAAGAAAAAAATACTACTAAGAAGTGTTTGTGTGGTGGGGAAGGTGGGATTATTCGAGGGGKGGGGGGGGGGGGGTTCATGGAGCAAAGACAGACAATAATAAAGCCTCAAGATTATAATGAAGTTTTGAGAGAATGTCAAAATGAAAGCAAGAAAACTCCTTCACTCCTTTGAATTTTTTCCTGGTTCCCTCCACGATGTCACTACTGGTCCCTTCCCCCATTGGTCCTGCTCTATACACTGATTTGGCTTGTTGCAACCCTTCGTGACTGATCCGGGATCAGTTTGGCCCGTGCTTCAAAGCAAACACGTCAAGAGAACCTGACCTGTTATCAGTTACTGCAGGCAGCTTTGTTCCCATCCCGACTCGAGTGTTTGGTCAAAACTAAGGTCTTAAAACGTTCAAAAGGTGAAAGGTCGCTGCAAGACCAAACAGGAATGTGCAATAAAAGTTACAGCTTATTCAAACTCGACTGATTTGGTGGTTTTGTTTCATGTTTGAATCGGGAGCTGCACTTCGATGCATTTTAGCGGCACACTTCAGGTTGAGGTGCCCTCCACTTCGTTCTTCTTTTGGACGTGGTTAAGAAAATACTCAGGAAGAACAGGCTGGAAAAACTCATCTCAGACGTCTGCTTCTCTGGTATAGCCTGAGATCAGAAAATGCACCTTAAAGAAAAGAAAAGTTTGGTCATAGCTTCTTGAACAACCTCAGTTTGGAGAAATGCAGTTTGACAGGGACATTAACCCAACAGGGACTGATGAGCTAATGGCTAACCCAGATTGGTGCCTTCTTAAAATAAGTAAATTTTGTGTGGACACAACTTTATTTGACCTTTACTCTTCCATCAATTCCCTTTACACAGTTATGTACACAAAATATGTACAAATATGTGACCAATCACATCGAACCGAGGATTACGTCTTAAAATGGTACATTAGGTGAAGAAGTAGGCAGCTGTAGTGCATTGGTTACAATTGTTATTTGTCAATTTATAATGAATTAAACCTTAGTCTATGGGTTTAATTTTTTTTTTTTTGAAGCCGTTTTTTGTGCAGTACCAACAAAAAGCATGATTTTCAGCAGAAAAGTCTTACAGTTTGGACATTTTTTATGTGAGCTTGCAAAGCCTTTTTCTTTCCATCAGATAAATCTCAATATATTGTTTGATGATTGTTTTTAAAGCAACATCAAAAATTCCTAAATAAATATTAATGAGTTATTCTGATTAGGAAGACAAATCAATCAGGATGATCCAAGTATTAAAACACAGCTATCAAAAAAGACAAAAACCTGAAAACTTGCAGGTCATTTTGACTGAAATTGATTTAATCCTTAGTTTGACGCGACAGGTCACATATCAGTAGAAGCAGCAACACTGCAGTTTTAGGGCATGTCAAGTCGACAACAATGTAATGAGTGTAATAATTAGTTTTTACATGAATGAGTGTGAAATAAAAAAAATTAGTCTCAGGTTACAAAAACAGCTCTGGAAATAGAGGTATTTTGTACATTTACATATCTAATTTGTCATTTTATGTAAAAGTACATTAAAGTATGTCCGTATGTGTGGCGTACATAAAAAACCCTATATATATATA